CGATTACAAAAAAAAATGAAGCCTATGATATGAAGAGGCAAGAACTTGTTTAAGAACTTTGACTAGAATCATTGTCTGGGAGGCCACTCACAAAATTATCTAGTAATTAATGAAGCTGGCGTTTTAGAATGTAAATTAAGGTCTTCGAAAAGGAGTCGCACATAGATTATTTTTGAAAATAATTTTCCAATTTGCGAATCATTATCAATTAGTTGTTTGGACCAAACTCCGACGCGAATTGAGTTAAGTTTTCATCGTTCCAAAAGTTAAAAATATCTGTGAATTCAACCTACAAAGTTGAGGTCTGCAAAGAGTTTAAGGAAGATAATGATTGATGATGGATCAAATGGACAAGAGAAGGTCAAATTTAACATAGCACAGAGAACAATAACCCTAGCAAAATTTAGAGTCGCCCCAGCTTCTGGTAATCCCAATCAGAAGCTGCCGCGACTGTAAATTTTCACTGGGAAGTTGTAAAAAGTAAGATTTTAGACAAAAAAAGGGGGGGGGGGCTAGACAAGATATTGGAGGAGGGCACAGGATGCAGGAGCAGCTGGTGCAGGAGGAGCAAGCAGGTGTTCCTGAAATGCTCGCGCTTCTGTTCCTGCTCACTCCTCTGTTCCTGCTCACTCCCCTGTTCCTGCTCACTCCTCTGTTCCTGCTCACTCCTCTGTTCCTGCTCACTCCCCTGTTCCTGCTCACTCCTCTGTTCCTGCTCACTCCCCTGTTCCTGCTCACTCCCCTGTTCCTGCTCACTCCCCTGTTCCTGCTCACTCCCCTGTTCCTGCTCACTCCCCTGTTCCTGCGCACTCCCCTGTTCCTGCGCACTCCCCTGTTCCTGCGCACTCCCCTGTTCCTGCTCACTCCCCTGTTCCTGCTCACTCCCCTGTTCCTGCTCACTCCCCTGTTCCTGCTCGTGCCCCTGTTTTGCTCGGGCTCATAATCTTAGCTTTCTCTGCTCCTATTCCTTCTCATGATGCTTTGTAGTCACAAATTTTGTACACAGAACATGAATGGAAGGGATGAATGATTTGTCTATGTATTGATTATAATTTTTATTTATGAACACTTGAACCATCTCAGCACTATAAATTGTAAGCATTGTTAAGTTCTTGGTTTTATAAAAAGTATTTAAAAAGTATTTCTTTATAACGCTTAGCGATGATTTTCAGCAGGTGGTGATTGCTGCAAAGGAAAAGTCCCAGTGTATTCAAGACTCCAGCAGGATTGATATGTGGTTGATGGGGTTACATGAGCGTTGCAGGGTTTGGGGCTACCAACGAGGAGCAGGGTTGGGGGATACAGAGAAGGTTTAGTCAGGGATGAGAGAGGTTATATGGGAGGATCGGTCAGGGATGTGTCAGGGTAGGAAGGATCAGTCAGGGACAGGTTAGGGTAGGGGAGGATCGGTCAGGGATGGAAGAGAGATAGGTTAGGGTGGGGGAGGGTCAAAGGGTCAGGTAGGGCTGTGCAGGAGCCAAAAGGTGGCTTCTGAGCACGGGCGCTTAATTGCTTGCTGGAGGAAACCAAACCAAAGGGAAACGAGCGCCGGCGTCGCAACAGCTGGCCAGCGACACGCGCGTCTGCCGCGCCGCTTCTGGTTTTTTACGTTATTATTGCCGGCGTATGGGTGGCCGTCCGTGAGTGGCGACAGATCGTAGATATTTTTATATTATCCGTTTTATTTTATACAATTATTGCCGGTGTATGGGTGGCCGTCTATAAGCATCGACTAATATATAGTAGATACTTTTATATTAGCCGTTTTATTTTATATAATTAGTAAGAGTTTGGGCGGCCGTCTATGAGAGACGACTAGTCGTAGATATTTTGATATTAGCCGTTTTATTTTATATAATTATTGCCGGTGTTTGGGCGGCCGTCTATGAGTGACGACTGGTCGTAGATATTTTTACATTAGCCGTTTTATTTTATATAAATATTGCGAAAGTTGCTGTGGCCTTCTATGAGTGGCGACTAGTCGTAAATATTTTTATATTAGCCGTTTTTTATATAATTATTGCCGGCGTTTGGGCGGCCGTTGAAGAGTAACGACTGATCGCAGATATTTTTATATCAGCATGTGCTCACTGCAAGAAAACTTTATTGCACTCTCACTCTCTACTCGAATTTCGATTAGATTCTCCTCGACGTTTCCGTTCATTGAATCTGAGACTGATTTTTTAGTCGCTTTGAGAGTCGCCTAGTTAGATCAATTATACCCGAATGGTTGAGAATCTGTTGCTTTGTCTCATTAACGTATATTAAAATAATCTATTAGTAATAAAATGACTTAATGCAGTTTTCTCACTAATTTGGTCAGTTTGCTTTCCCTGATTATTAAGGCTTGGGAGTCAAGCTCGAAGGGAGCTCGATTAAAAAATATAAAGACAATAGCTAAGACATTACCCAACCGTGTGTCAGCTTTTCATTACAATACATCACGAGCGTCGCAAGCGATCATAATGTCACCATATAAAGTTCGATGCTCATAAAATTACCGAAAAATACAGAGGTCCTGCAACTAGCAGAGCTTTTGTATTTTTAACATCTGGTATGCCGCACAGACGCTGCATGCGTCAACTGAGGTACACTTACGAGCAAAATAATTAAAAACAAAAATAATTGTGTTTGTTTTGATATTGTCCTCTCATGAATAATCACAGTAAACTTCATAAATTAGCTAGCAATTACTATTCATTACACAGTAAAAACTTTTGGCGGTAGATTTAAAAAATTTGTTAATAATATTAAGACTCCAAATGAAGAGTTAGTCTCATCAATTTTAATTTTCCATATCAGTCCATCGGCCTAATAGCATGAACCGTAATTGACAATGGCAGTCGCTGAAAACCAATATCTGGAATTTCAATTTTTAAAACTGGCAAGAGCGTAGTTATCATCACGGTGGAATCGAAGATATATATTTTAATAGAGCCGATGTTTTAGTACGATGGACTAACTTCAGTATGACAACCAATTTCTATTAAAGAAATTTTTTAACCATCACTGTGATGATGGCCGTCAAATCTTAACGCAATCGAAAATTTTGATTTTTTACCGACCTTGTCTCGACAGCCGTTAAGCAGCAACGTCCGTTAACGACCAACACCAGCGAAGCGTTCAGTGATTAGCATTCGGTGCTACGCTCGTCAGAAGCGAGTGGAGTAATTTCCTCGTAATGTTCACGCATCGTGCACATTCACGTTGTTTTTGCATACATTTTGACCGCGATCCCTTGGGATGTATGGGAGATGCTGGCACCTATAATGCGTCGTGTGGAAGCGATGTCATCCTTGACGAAGTATCTTCCGAATACGTTTCTCATTGAGGAAGCTCCTACAGTTAGGCGTAGCTCTGGCCGATTAAAAGTTGTTTCCGTGTTTATCGTCAAAAAAGTCCCCTGGACTAAGCGTGACCTCTAAAGAATTATCGCAATTAATCATGACAGGTGCTAATTATTCGAGTATTTCATTTTAGTTTGAGAGCATGTTATGAACAATTGTAATTCAAGTGAGTTTTATTAGGACTTTTGTGTACATTAAAGTGAAAATCTTTGCATTTCAAAATAATTTATTCCTGCCCATGTCTCGGCAGAAATGATCTTCACCAATCGAATTTCAGGTTCAGGCTGCCTACAAAACTTTGCCACGTTTTCTAAAGAATATATTTATTAAACTTTCTTTTAAAAAATGATTGATGAAAACATAACCACTCGCACTTTTATGATCATGACGAATAAATTGATTAAGTAGGAACAATACGTGTCTTTATGGCTGATATGGTGCAGTGTTTATGACACAAACATGTCTAGCTGCCATAAAACTTGACACGGATCTCGCTGCCTCTTTGTAGCTTAGCTTCCGATTGCATCAAAAACATCTGCTGTCTCGTTACTTTTATCAACGATTCAACCCACCAAATTTCCTTTGACACTGAAAACAATTATACTAATTTCTTACTTATATAATGCACATATCACTTATTTGTTCTTACAAATATTTACATTGTACGAATTTTCAGATCTTTGCAAACCTTCTAATTCGTTCCAGCCTTTTATCCAAGTTAGTAATTTGAAAACTTGTCACTTACAGTGAAGGCTCATAGAGTGCAATCGCCAATTGACTTCCCACTCGCAATTAAATCTCCCAGCCTATGTGTGTACTGAGTATATTTTTAATTAAACAGCACAAAAATATCAATATAATTATATATATATTTTCATTATATATGTAATACAAATTTGTGGATTTGAATTCACAAATGTTCTTTGTGGATTTTTATCTTGGCTACGGATTTTGTGTTCTAAACGAGCGAATTTCACGACAAGAATATTCGTGTGCCGGGAGATTTCCGTGGTTGCAAATGGATATAGCTCTGTAACTAATTCTAAATCCTGCAAAAATTTGTTTAATTAAAAATTTTGCTCCTTCTGGAACATCATTAGCCATGTTTAAATTTCATTATAGCTATAAAAAACCTAAACGAAAGAAGTTAATCAAACGGAGTCGACCATCAAATGTAGGCGCTGCATAAGCGCAATTGACCATCCTTTAGAAGTTGAATTGTTTGATGAATTTGGTTTACCAAAAGGAATGGATCGGGAAATAAATGGAAACGCATAAAAAAGTATTCACGATTATAGATAATTTTAAACCGTGAGGTAAAAAAGTCTACGGGACTAGCGTGTAAAATTTCAAAAACCGCGTGGCCGATTTCATTGATTAAAATTGCTTCCTGTATTGTGAACGGACACTCCGGATAATGCATTATTACATTATGCATCTAAGATCATTACTATACATTATTATTCTAGTATCATTATAAATTAAAGTGACATAAATATAGATGTAATTTTATGATTATTATTTCATAAATTTTGTTCCAATGACAGAAGTGATTAAATTTACCTTAAATTACATCTTCAGCTTCATTGACTCTTACTTAATGACCTCTATTTTTAAAAATAATTAGTTTAAATGTTCATTGTAACTGTGCAGACAGTGACAGCCCCGCAGCGGGAGCCATGGCTCCGTCCCCCTTGGGGGGAAGATGGGGGGCCTGGAATACCCCCTTGTCTGGGGGTCTCCCCCTGCCTCCCCTCGCCACCGTCCCACCTCCCCTCACCAGCCCCCTCAACCTCACCATCAAGAGTAAGAATTATAGCTTATTTATGTTCTATTTATTTTATCTTTATTTTTATTATCTAGGTTTTGTTTTCACGAAATTTGTCATTTCATTTTAAATAAAACGAAGACAACAAGAAATCTGGAACGAAACATAATTGAATTAATTGTCCCTCATGTGTTCAAAATCGATACTTTTGAACTCAAGCAAGCCGCTTCCTTGAATTTTGTAAAACTATTGATGATACACAAATATTTCCTACTAGTATTTAAAAACTAGAAGTTCGCGGCCATGCATGGGAGGCAACGATAGATTTCTCAGTAACTTACAGTAAATTATTGTAGTTTTATAAAAATTAATATACATTGACATTTTCCGTTTATTTATATCTCTGGCTAAAACTTAAATTTTTCATTGACATGTTCCATACTATGTATGATTTATATCTCTGGCTAAAACTGAATTTTTTCCATTAAAGGACCGCCAGTTTCCCCCGAGAAGGACGAGCCCCTGAATCTGTCCCTGAAGGGCACCGTCCCCGGGATCTGGTCGCCGGCGTCGGCGCTGGAGAGAGAGGGTCGCTCCCTCAGTCCCATGGACACAAACTTTGACGCTGATGTCATAAGACAAACTAAAATTAATGAAGTTTTGCAGGTCAGACTTGATGTCTTGGGAATCAAGTATTCTCCAGAAATAAAATAATTAGAATGATTATAATCATAAGAATAATAAAAACAATAATTATAATAATTATTGTTTTTAGAATATTTTTGTATTGTGGAATTATACCTGCGTAATAATTAGAATATTTTTGTATCGTGGAATTATACCTGCGATGATGTCGTGAGTCTCACGAATTTCAAGCGTTAGTGGAAATACAATTTCTTTGAATGATTTGAATATCATGAAACATTGAGATTTGCGGAATCAAAGTCATGCTAAACTGGAGGCAATTAATTTTGTTCACGATATCTTATGTTTTAATTTTGGCATTCTAAAATTAGTCTCGTTACCTAGCGAGTTACCCAGGTATTCTTTCAATTACAGAGCTCACTAACAGTTGGTGTCGAATCTCCATCGTCAACTTCTTCGGTGCGCGCTTTCGGTGGCTGGAGTTTGGGTCTTCAGCGCTACGAAGAATTTCTGAGGCGCAATTCCACGGCTCGTCAAAGCTTCCACGGCAGCGCGGAAGACCTCAACAAAACAGACCTCGAGGAACACGCCGCGCAGAAGCAAGGAATGGCTCCATGGAACTGGGCCTTATTGGCCAAACATAAGATGTCTTTGCAGGGTAGAGATGACCATCGTCTTAACGCTGCATTCACAGAGACTAATGGACGAGAACAGGAGTTAATTCAAAGAAACCGGGAGTTGTTAAGACAAGGAAACCTTTTTGGTCATCATTCCGACTCTGACCCGCACGATGAAGATTCATCCATGGAGGCTCGTACTAGAAGAGGCGTTGACATGCGTGAGGTTGAAGATACGAACAGGGCAGCAAATAGGGATATTCATATGGATGCCCAAAGGGACCGTATTCACGAACACCACAGGGAATACTACCGTCACGATGCTTTTCAGTATCTGCGTCCACCCATTGATGTCGAGATGCGCGATCGGCGTTTGCTGAACGACATGATTGCGCAAAGCAGCTTCGAACACAAAGGCTTGACACCAACACATCTCTCCCCAAGAGATGCTGCGTCTGCTTCAAGCTCTTCCCCACACTCACACTCACAGCAATATTGCCCCGAGGGGGACTGGTATTCCCCAGCGGCCCCACTCAACTCCCACACGGCAGTCCACATGTCGTCTGGATCTCCTAAAGCCGAGAGAATATTCCAGGTTAGATAGTATATCAAAATATTGATGTTTGTCAGTTATAAAATAGCCTGAGTGTATCTTAAGGTATCTACGCATAAAATTATGCCCTAAAATACCTTTCTGATTGAATTTGAATGTAACGCGTTTATCTCAAACAACTTCTAACAATAAATTTCTAGGTTGTCTCAAAAACTTTGATTGATTTAACATCGTTGAGTTCGTCCAGCGCAAACATCTCTCAAACATTCAAGAGCAGCATAACTCTTGTTCGCGTACTTATCCATTTCATTGTCGATAAAAAATTATTATTTTTAATCATTCTTATTTTTAAAAATTTTAAAATTATTATTTTTTTATCATTAACAATATTAATCACAATTTTTAACGTCGAAAATTTCAAAATTATTATTTAATATCATTGGCAATATTATTCACAATTTTTAACGTCAATTGCGGGTTCTGCGTAGGCTTTTTAAGGCCGTAAGGTTAACATATGGAAATACTAATTGTTCTTGCATGCAGTGATTAGTTCACGAAGACAAAAATCCATGTTCCATCAAAGAAAATACTTTAACTATTGACAATTTCAATTTTTGGCCAATACAGCAACGAAAACCTATTGCAATATAGTGTAAAAAGTATAAATTTACGGACGGTTGTGTCTAGATTTGTATTAAACTTATTTCTCAACTTCAGCAGTATCTTTTAACTAATTATGAATATGGTAAACAGTGCAAACAGTGCAACAAGACGTTCAAGAGGTCATCCACCCTATCCACCCACCTGCTTATCCACTCGGACACACGTCCGTACCCTTGCTCCTACTGCGGCAAACGCTTCCACCAGAAGAGCGACATGAAGAAACACACATACATCCACACAGGTGAATATTACGACATTAATATATTTCTTCAGCCTACATTCATACAGGTGAATATTACGACATTAATATATTGCTTCAGCATGCATCCACGCAGGCGAATATTGTGACATTAATGAATTTCTTCAGCCTGCATTTATACATGTGAATATTATGACTGTAATGTATTGCCTCAGCCTACATTCATACATATTAATATTATGACATTAATGTATTGCTTCAGCCTGCATTGAAACATGTGAATTTTACGACATTAATATTTGTGTCAGCCTACACACACACATTTGAATGATGTAATATAATCCAAAGCTTTAGCCTATATGCGTACAAGTGAATGTTAAGACACAGATACGATACTTTAATACATATTTTTAAATTTGATTAATATTAGTTTGAATAAACTTTTATTACTATATTTCTTACAAATTGTAAATAAATAACGTTACTATTCTGGTGGCCAAAATGATATCGATATATGAATACGGTTTCAATTATTGAATAAATGTCGATGATATTTAGGCAATCAATCAATGATGATGAAACATTTAATGAATGTATTCCTAATCATGGAAAGAAATCCCAAACAAGCTCAGGCTTAACAAGTAAAAGTTAGAAGTTAATTTGCGACACATTTTTTTTTAATTCTGTCATAAACATTGAAAATATTCGATTTCGCACTATTAAATTTAACAGGAAAATGCCTGTAATTTATAAGGTTTGAGAAATGTTCACAAGCCTCAGCTGTCGGGTGCTTTGTCAATCATTACTCATGGCGTCGAGCCGTCAATCCAGTTCTTGGTCAAGTCCTGGATAAAATAACGTATATTAATTATTTTATTACTGTGCTTTGTTCTACTTACGAGCACTGCTAGAGCGTTACAGTTGTGCCAGAGTTCATACGCATCTATGAAATACAAAACTGAGGGAATAAACTGTGCAAAGCACAAAGCAGGACAGGTTCAAAAAGATTTTTAATACAGAAATAGCTTTCGAGAATTAAAAACGATTTACATAAAAGTTTGAAAAAGAAACAACCTTCGATTTAGAGCCGAGAAGAAAATAAATGCCTAATTTAAAAAGTGGAGCGAAGTAAACTCATTGGTTTATAGGACAGCGCGGTTTCAAGGCGTGAGTAGCCATGCATGCAAAAATCAAGCCAGTCTTGGCTCTTTACAAGCTTGGTTCCTTTGAATATCGGCCAAGTGCTCGCTTTAACGGGTCTTTTGAGGCGGCCTTACTAGCCCGGCATGTGAGTAATGACCCTAACAACTGCTCCTTATAAATGACCTCACGAATGCGACAACAAATGACCTAACAAATGAACCAAGATGCTGTCCTGCAAGGTTCTATGAGGATCGGGCTTTACCGTTCACAGAATATCGATACGGAGGCGCGAGACAGCCGTTCAAAGGAAAAATACCGGGCTTAATTTTGCGACATATTTTCACTCGAGAGAGCCAATAGATTTTCAACCCGTGCAAAGACTGCGCATTTGAAAGGTTGTCTCTCTTTTGAGCAATAATTTTCCTGGCTATTTAGTGTCAGTTATTATTTATTCATTTAAATAATCACGCGCACAATATTGTGGCGTGGATCAATTCATCCAAATCTTTCTCAATGTACACTTGTCTCACGCAGGTACTCAGCATTGTTATGTCCCGAGTCAAGAATCCTATGGTTTATTTCTGAATATACTCACGAGTTTTTCATTGCAAAAATCTCATATGCATGAATTCCCATGCATCTTTGATCAAAAACATAAGCCTTCCTGCATTACACATGAGACACAGTTTCAGAACAGTTTCAGTTTCAGAGCGTTCCTATGTATATCCCGAGCGTTAAGTTATTCCAAGCATGGTGTCCGAGAATCAATGAAGACTATAATCAATTCGGCGCTGATAAATAGAGCGCTTTGGCCGACGCTGCATTATGTAATGGCTAACAGCACAAAATGATTGTGCCAAGATTTCAATTGCTGGCATTGATTCGATCTGGCGGTGGCACTCTTGGTGGATGTATAGAAGGATTCTGTCGCGACACCGAGACTTAGATTGATTGCTTCTCTCTGTTCATTGCGTCAACAAAATAAATTGCACCAGCGGCTACATCGTGCAGAATAACATGGCTGGTTCATAGGCAGTTCATAATAACATGGCTAGTTCATAGGTTGTTTATAATAGCATGGCTGGTTCACAGGCTGTTCATAATAACATGGCTGGTTCACAGGCTGTTCATAATTAATAATATGGCTGGTTCACAGGCTGTTCATAATAACATGGCTCGTTCATAGGCTGTTCAGAATAATATGGCTGGTTCACAGGCTGTTCATAATAACATGTCTGGTTCACAGGCTGTTCAAAATAACATGGCTGGTTCACAGGCTGTTCATAATTAATAATATATGGCTAGTTCACAGGCTGTTCATAATTAATAACATGGCTGGTTCACAGGCTGTTCATAATAACGTATATGTTTCCTAGTCAATTCAAAATAACATGGATTTTGTTTTCTTGTTCAAAACATTTATTTTGACCTATTGATCTATCCTGATTAATATTGAATCACAGATTTTTCTTTGACTATGATGTCTTACTTGATATTTATCTAATATTTTTTTCTTTTTGGCTCTCCAAAGCACGGTTAATAAACGCTCTATTGAATTGAAAAGTTTATCTTTAGTTTTATTAATATCGATACACAGCTTTTTCAGCTGCAAGTTTAGTATTTGGAACTCATCACATTTTGTCTATACCCAGCCTAGTCTATCTAGTCTTTGAATACACGTGCAAAGAATGAGTAAACTCTAATATTTCCAGGACTGCTCTAGTCATAAAGGACGGCATTTACCGTCGTAACACAAAGGCGCGTCGCCTCGTGGTACTCACCTTGTTTGGTTTGTTTCATGACAGGTGAGAAGCCGCACAAGTGCGTGGTGTGCAGCAAAGCTTTCAGCCAATCCTCGAACCTGATCACCCACATGCGCAAACACACCGGCTACAAGCCCTTCAACTGCGGCCTCTGTGATAAAGCCTTCCAGAGGAAAGTGGATTTGCGGCGACACCGAGAATCTGTTCACCCCAACTGCGAACATTTGCCGCCTCCGTCCCCCTCTCTCATGCCCGAACATCTGCATCAGGATATGACACACGTGAGTCCAAATGGCATGGAATCCAATTCAGAGTCTCCAATTCTGCATAGAAGGCTGAGCGTTCATCATAACAGCTTCAAGCCTGAAATTATGGATCCAAGTTTCCCAGACTATGAAGACCGTCAGCATTTCATGGAAAGAGATGATGGTAGATCGCAGCACAGTTTTGGAGGACGGAAACCTCAGTTCAGTGACGTATCGAGTACCATGTCTTCGCTGCCCACGACCCGGAATCTTGTGTCTACGTCGTTCCAACAACAAGTGCCTTCGTCTACCTCTTCGCTTAATAGTTACGAAGAACGCATGAACGATGTGCCCTTGGATTCGGATCCCGAAGTGGGCAGTCCTTCTCCCTCGACGAGTGATCAGCGCCGTCGGGAACACCATTTTGTAGAGGGGGATTTACACCTCGTCCAAGACAGGATCAGGATTAGCACTGAGCTGGTGTCAGGGAGCCGGAATCCAACTCAGATACCGGCAATGGCCTTGTGAGTGCCTCGTTGGAGTCTCCGTAAAGTTTCTTCACTTTCAAGGTATCTTCAATTTTTGAACCTGCCGTATTTAGCGACGGTTTTACCCCACCATTTTTGTAGAAGTGGTTCATATCAGTTAAGCCTTCGTGTGTGGCTAATACAATGTCCTTAACAATTGTACTCCACTTTCAATCTATATTTTCAGTAGAAGATTAAATTAATCATTTAACAAGAAACAAAATACCAATATCGTGTTTGGAAAATCACAATCTTTGCCGAACACGATTGGTACAAGGCATGAAGCTGCTAAAGAGGTCTCACTCATAAATCTGAATTGTTCAGTTTTGCATAAAAGTTTCATGTTTGAAATAACAGTCAGAGTAATGCAGTTTCTTTCACTTTTTTATTTAAATACAAAAAATTAAACAATGATTCGGTTTATAATGAAACGCAATTAAGCAACATTAGTTGCTAATTATTGAGCGTTCAATTAATTAGGTTAGCGTTATTTTTTCTATACTGACGAAATAATTCTGCGCTTCGTAAGATGGAAAAAATATAATGGGAATTTGAATGAAATAGACTTAGAGGGCATTCATTTTTGTCCACTGTTATTATAAATTTCACATCGAATGTAAATATTTAAAAACTTTCAGCAATTCTATATGAAATGTGGTCTCTTAATTAATTAATGAAATGTGGTCTCTTAAATGTTATTAAAAATATCACTTCTTTTATTCTAAATAATCTCATACAAAAGGATCTCATTTTTAGCTCATCTCTTGGCGCATCGATGCATAATTACGCCTAATTTTTGTATAATATACACACTCGTAGGAAATGACGTGAAATAATTAAACCTTTACAGCATTCTAGCAAAAGCTGTTTACCTAATACAATGGAAACGTATATGTTAGAGCATTAGATGTGCATTTGCTGCTAACCAAAAAATTAACGATTTTAAAGTACAAGATAACTGGGCGTTATAATACGTCCGGAAAATTGTCACGGTCTATACTGATTGGACCAAGGTGGAAACGCGAAAGGTTTTGAATTTCTACTCAATAAGTACTGTATGAAATACGATTAACAGAATTCTAATAGTATAGGCAGATGCCGTAATTTTTAATATTCTTCTTAGATTGTGTGTGCTATTATGGTTTTGTGCAGTTAACGAGAGTGACGATTTATTAGGCGACGTTTGAAAGGACTAAACTGACACTGACTAAACTGTATCCAATATATACGAATAAAATCAAGTTGAATTATGCGAGATCTAGTCAAGTGCACTTATTGAATGATCTTGATTGTTGGGTGATGTTGCAAAATAATAGACGTTATACCGACTGCTTGCTTCTGAATGTCACAACAAATTTTCTGGAGTTGATGTTATGCAGCACACTGAATACATACATCTTAAGATGGAAAACATAGAACTGTGTTAAGCTTGCAATATCTCAACACGAAAATACTGTGAATATGTAATAAATTAGGAACTATTTTCCGGATATTTATTGATATGATTATGACGTTTATAATCACCATTGATAAAATTCATTCAGTTTCGGATCGAGTTATTAATTGATTCATTGAAAACACAAAATGCATTTTTTGATTACTTTACTAAATAACTTAAGTACTAAAATAACTGTGCAACATACAAACTGAGTCTGTGCGTCATTTGATTAATATGATCAAAATAGAGATCGATTGCCCAAATTCATGAGCTACATTTCCCTTTATAGTAAAAACAAATTACACTACCTACAAATTCAGGCACTAAAACTCCAGTCAGATGCAGCCAGATATCTGTAGTCATGCACTAGTCATACTGGCAAGCTTGCAGACTAGTCGGCAAGAACGTTTATGTCTGTAAACTTTTTGCATTTTGATATAATATAAACATTTCAAGGTTACAAGCCGCAAACAACGCATAACTAATATCTTCTAAATTGTTTCGTTTTTTACCAGTTTTATAATTCAATCCAATGCTAATATCAGCATGCATGGTTTGAACAAATGAACTTGAATGAATTGAAGAAATTTCTTTGGCTTTGAGCTAACAACTGATTATATTATTCGTTGAAGACTCACTAATGCATGTGAGAATCAATAAATTTTATTCTCTTAACTTTAAGCACTACGGTTTTTCTGTTTTTTTTTTATGTATATTGAATATGCTCCGTTAAATTAATCGTTAGCCGCTTATCAGGTTCAAACGAATAAATTTTGCTCGGCTGGCGCTTGGTTTGTGTCGACCAAGACTTAAAATCCAGTTGGATTAAATCCAAAACGTGTCAGCTTTCAGATAGTCACCTATTAAATTCAACGACAATAAACTCTCAATAATTTTTTTAATGTGATCCGATATCAGTGAAAAAGTGAACCGATATCAGTAATGTACTCAAAATAAAAAGAAGTGTATATATGTTAATTATGATTGGACCATCGATCATTATTTGCTTACATTATTATGAGTGTATTAAATAAAATACAGATCCTCCAAACCTGGGGGTGCACTGATGAGTAAAGTTGAAATATAAGGTTCAGATAAATAACGAAAATATATCTTGCGTTGAACTTGTCATTCATAATTGCAGAATTAATTTAAGTTATATTATTGTAATTCTGTTAGATGGAATACTAAAATACCGTAAGCGGTGAAATTTCATAAGAAATGCAGTTTCAAAAGAGCTTTGCCAACTTGCTGAAAGTTGCTGTCCAAGTAAGAATTGATTCAACCAATTTCTTTCTTCTTCTTCTGGACTTAAGTTTATCCCCTTCCGATACAAAACTTTGGGCCATAAGTCGCATGTGTTTAGTTTTCTTAGTGAAATTGAACTTACCCACCTGAAAATATCCATGGATGCAGCCAATAAAAATCTTTCAACTTTAATGTCAACTCATTTTGACTTGAACAAAAATTTAACTGGTGGAGTAGATTTTGACGGAGTCACTTTTGTGTTAGAAACCTTCTGTTAGAATTATTGGAAAATTTATATGCGTTGCGTTAAGTGCTGTTTAGAAGCTTTTTGCGTTATGCTTACTCTAAAAACTGTTTCCATAATTACTCGATCTTTTCGTGTGTAAAAATACCAAAGTTTACACGAGTCAAATATTCGTTAACTTTATGTTAAGACTAAACTTATTTCATATTAAGTTGTGATGATCTCTTTGATTATAATTTTTTAAGCGTGAACTATAAGATTTTTTTTATATTAAGATCGTTTCCCATCTTACCTGCAAAACCTGCAACATATACAATCCCAGTTTTGACGAATAAAAATGTTGCATTAATGAGTTTTCCTCATTTAATTCCATGACTTTTACATCCGTTTTCATGCATAACCGTAACACCAAGACAACATTCTATGAAATCATCATGTTTTATACGACACCAACGTGATTTACTTTAAACATTTATTTTACTGGAAAAAAGAGGCAGGAGTTGTAGTACAGGTAACATACATTCACATCCACCTCATTCAGTTTCAGGCGACAGTGCAGCGGAAACTTTGAGTTTTCGTAGGAAATTATTAATTTTGTTCTCGATCTTCAAATTGCTTTATCAATTGGATCTGTAATTTCGATAAATTTAGAAGGATCCGTAATGAGAGCAGAGAGGCTACTATCATAACGATTACGATCAATCAATACCACTTTCTAGCCCTTATCTGGCTTGCAGCAGATTAAGTATTTAATTTGGCTAGGTTTTTCAATAAAAGGGTGTCACGGGGGCTGGAAAACAGTTGAGAAAACTTTATAAGATGCGAAGCCGTAAAAATGACCGAAAGCTATGCTTTGTGAATTGCCAAGAAATTTAGGACGCTGGTAATGGAAACATTTTTTATGCTAAGAGCAAGCCTATCAAAAGTAAAAACTTATAGAGAAATTCAATTTAAAAACAGGAAAACAAAAATCTATACCGAAAGCCAGCAAAATTGGGTCCGAGATTCCAAGTTGTATGAACTATTGTTGAATACGACTTAATCGGAGTTACAAGGATGAATTTCATTATGGATACCGAGATTATGAAGTTTCTCCTGATGGGTCTGACTCTTAGTTTTCTTGAATGCTTCAGTTAGGTGTCTGGCATGTTGACGCGTTGCGAAGGCATCAAGAGTGGAAAAAAGATGCCCAATTCGCGCTTCACTTTCGGCGATCAATTGAGTTAATTTTCTTGATCAATTCAGTCTTTTTCTTGGAGGACAGTTCCCTGGACTCAGCCGTACGCATTCATGCCGAGCAGTGCAACATCCCGGTATCCAATAGTGATTTTAGAGTTTTAGCCTCCACACCGGCTGTTTCTGACCTTCGATATTTAGAATCACTGTATATTTTTAAACAGAAGCCCAGTTTAAATGCTGATTTCTGTTCCTATCCTCTACAAATTGTAAATAAATAGTACCTTTAGCTGATGTCTATTTGATTTATTTTTTAATATGGTTCTGATGTCCCTAATTTTAGGTGAATTGTTTGAATGTGAATTTTAGTTTACTAATTGTTTCTACCTGTGTTCTAGGTTTTAAACTGACGATGGAGCTGGACTCCGAAACGTTTTCTCTTATAAAAGAAAACGTTTTCTTGGGCCTGTTTTGTTCGTTGCGTTAAAACGATCTGCCAGAAGCTGTGTCTAGCGTGTGCTCGACGTATGCTGACGACACAAAAAGTTTATAATACAGTGAAGAATATGTCCCAAAAATTATAGTTGCAAGGTGATCTTGACAGGTTAGTGGACTGGGCTAATAAGTGGCAGCTGCGTTTTAATGCTGACATGTGTAAAGTAATCCACCTTGGCAAGAACAATGTACAGCACTGGCAAGATTACAGTATGAGAAGACTATGGCCCGTATGCTAAATAGGCACTAGCACTACGAAGCAAGTAGCACTACGCACTACAAGCCGTAGTGCCTACTATAGTGCGACATGGAACACTACGGTTGGCATGCTAAATAGTGCCAAAAGCATAACGCGCACTACAAAAATCTGAAGTGTCCTACCCACCGCACTCCACGAATACACTACGGTATATTTAACCTTGTTTACTTCGTCAGCTATGGATCTGTTTGGCTTACAGCAAAAGCATCATCGCGTAAAAACCTCAGGAACTACATGCCAAGAATATATAACTAAGTGTAACGCTTCAGTGAACAACATGTTATT